CAAGTCACAAGGGAGAGAGTGTTGGCAAAGTCATTGAGTCATGTTTGCATACTTAGGGTATTGAGAGAGTCTTCACTATGACTGTTGATAATGCCTCCTCAAATGACTCCATGATTAACTACTTGAGAAGGAAGATTAAGGGTGGAAAGGGGTTGTTTTAGGTGGAGAATTTCTGCATGGTAGGTGTTGTGCCCATATAGTGAACTTGATTGTCAATGAAGGTTTAAAAGACCTACATAATTTCATAGCTGCCATTCGTAACGCTGTGAGATATGTGAGGTCTTCTCCGGCTAGGTTCCTGAAATTCAAGTCATGTGTGGAGCGAGAGAAAATTGAATACAAAGGTCTCGTATGCCTAGATGTCCCTACTAGATGGAACTCCACCTATATGATGTTAGATAGAGCCGTTAAGTTCAAAAGCTTTTGAAAGATATGAAGAGGAAGATGACAAGTTTGTGTCTTATTTTCGGGAAGATGAGGGGGGAAAACGGAAGATTGGCCCACCACTTGATGATGATTGGGAGAATGTTAAGGTGTTTGTGAAATTTTTGAAGACTTTTTATGATATAACTTTGAAGTTTAGTGCCACTTGGAATGTCACTTCAAATTCTTACTTGCATGAGCTTTGTGAGATGCAAACCCAGCTATCTGAATTAAGCAAACAAGAGGATTCAATGCTTTCATCCATGGCAGTGAGTATGAAAAAGAAGTATGACAAGTATTGGGGCAATGTTGAGAATATAAATTGTCTTCGCTTTGTGGCTGTTGTGCTTGATCCTAGGTTCAAAATGGATTATTTGACATATTGTTTCTCTATAGTGTATGATTCTTACACGTCTAAAACATTAGCAAAGAATGTGAAGGATACTATGTACCGGCTGCATGAGGTTTATAGTGGGGACAAGGGTGAATCTGTGGCTAATGAAAGTAGTGGGGAGGCGGCAACAAGTACAACGGAGGCAAAAACAAAAGTAGAAGGAAAAGGGTGTTTGTGGAGCTCCCTTGTTAGAAAAATGAAGGAGAAGAATGTGAATGAGTACAAAAATGATGTGGATAGATACTTGGCAGACCCTATGAAGGATCCAACTCGGTCAAATTTTGATGTTTTAGATTGGTGGAAGAATAATGCAACTAATTATAAGGTTCTCTCACTAGTTGCAAGAGACATTCTTGCCATTCCTGTTTCAATGGTAGCCTCAGAATCTGCTTTTAGTGCCGGAGGCCGCATCCTCGATCCCTTTAGGAGTTCATTGAGCCCCAAGATGGTGGAGGCATTGATTTTTACACAAAATTGGCTGCGTAGTTGTGAGCACATCAACCTTAGTGGCGTGGAAGACTTTAATGAATATGAAGATATTGAGTTAGGTAATCTTTTTACGTTTTACTTATTTTTTTTAATTTTATTTCATCTCCTTGTTGTTCTAAACTTGATTCTGATGATTTTTTTTTGTTATGTTTTCTTCTCAAGATTTGTCAAATTCTGTTGTAACACATGAGGGCCAAGTTGGGAATGAAGGTGCTATTATTCTGGATTAAATAGTTGTAGTGGACTAAATTTCCTATTTTACAACTATCTTTATATGGACTGTTTATCTTTATATGGACTATATTCTGGATTAAACTGTTTATTTTATATGGACTATTTTGCTTCTCAAGATTTTATTTCATCTCCTTGTTGTTTATGCTTTTGGACTGTTAAAAGAGGTATGAAGTCACAGATTAAAATTGGTTTTCACCAACCCGAATAACCCGACCCTACCCGAGGTCACCCGAAAGGTTGCGGGTTTGTACACTTAAGAGAGTGTCGCGGCCCAAAGTTTTTTCAACCCGCACTGATCGGGTCGGCTCAATTTTTCGGCTCACCCCGCCCCTCCCCAGCCGATTTACACCCCTAGGTATTATGAAAGTTTCATTAATTGTACTTCAAGGTGATTGTTGCACAATCTAAAAACTAAAGTTGTCTTTGGGCTGCTTCTGATTTGGACTGTAAATTCTTCAAAAATTCTTTAAGAATCACTTTTTATAGTTTTTTACTAAATACAAATTTCAACTGTGGATAACTAGAGAATTGATTTTGGGTTACAAGAATCACTACCAAACATACCCTTATAACATGTGAATAAAGTGAAAGGGCCCAAAGCACCAATATCCAGAAGACACGTAAGATATCAACTTAAAAAATCATTGGAAATATCGAAATAAGAGGAGAAAGAGAGAAGATGACCTTGTATGATACCTCAACCGGATATAAAATAAATAACCGGGGAGTCATTAAATAAAGGGTTAATCTCACAAATGGTTTCTAAGGTTTAGTCTCAATCCCACTTTAGCTCCTTATTTTTCAAACGTCACACAATTAGTCCTTGAAGTTTTATTTTGTTTCAGTTTCAGTCCTTATGTTAGTTTGATGTTAAATAATTGACAGAATTTGTAGATATTAAGAACTAAAATTGAAAACATATAAAGTTTAGAGACTAAAACAATACAAAAAACTAAAAGTTAATTTTTACAGATAGACTCAAAATTTTAGTTGTTTCTAATTTTGGATTCTAATTTACACATATTTTATCAAATTTTAACGCCTAGTTGAAGGAAAGACTGAGACTAAAACAAAATAATACCTTAGGGACTATTTGTGCAACATTTGAAAAGTCATGAATTAAAGTGAGATTGAGTGTAAACTTCATAGACTATTTGTGACATTAATTCTTAAATAAAATGGACAATCTGGGGGGTGGGGAATAGGCAACAGTACGAGCTTGTTTGGTAAGAAAAAAAAGTGAAAGGAGGAAAAGTGGTGAATGGTAGTGGTAGAATTTTCAGATCACCATACTTGTTTGGAAGGAGAGATAAAAAGAGGAATGGATTGGATGAGTTATATCGTATCCTTCAGACAACTACAACTTTAAGCTCTCCAAATATGAAGAGACTAAAAGAGAAAATCCATACCAAACACAATAGAAAAAAGGCTTATTACTTTTTCGGCATTTTCATTATGTAGATTTTGTGGGTTTTTTTTTTCTTTTTATGCTTTTTCCAAACAATAAAAATAAAAAATAAAAACATTACAAGCAATAAAAGAGAACGAAATAATTTATTGAATTTTCAATAGTATTAGAGACACTAACTCTAATTTCAATCCTTATTATCTTGAGTTGTTATTCTTTTACTGATAGATGTAATTTATTAATGTGACCATCTTTTAAACACATATCATTAAAAAAATGACAATTTGAGAATATGTCCTAAAATTGATATTAGAGTTTGTGTCTTTCGCATTATAATGGTCGAGTTATTTACTTTTCTCTTTTGATCAGGGGATTGGTTAATTGATTGTGTTGAATAATACTTTAGAATTTTTGTTTTTCAAAGATCAAATCTTTTGTTTTCTCCAATAATCAATGATACGGGGAGCTTGATGCACAGCCTTTTCTTTTTCATTAATTATCTGCTTTGCAAAAAGTCTACAATACATTCTAATTCTCCCAACGCACTATGCAGTTAAATGAGTCGTTGAATAACAAATGAAAACGATCTAAATCGTTAAGACTTTTTTAGGTGACGAGTTACAAATTTCTTTACTTACCAAAACAAAATATAAAAATAAATAAATAAATAAAGGACTTACAAATTTCTTTGCGTGTGTCCTTCGTGTTACTGGTTTTTCCAATTTTAATTGATCAGATATTTTTATTGATGTAGATGATTCAAAAATCAAAACTCAATACACAGCTTCTTCACATTAAACTTTTCAACCGAATTTATGTGTAGTGCTAGTTGTTAATTAATCGGAGTCATGAGTCTATGACTGTATGAATCATATATAATTGGTATTTGTATTTTCTTTTTTTGATGGAATTGGTACTTGTATTTTCTTGATGCAGAATACATTATCCCTTTTAAAAAAAAATGAAAAAAAAAAAAAAAAAGCGCCATACTTTTGGCCTCAACTTTTTTGCAATTAAGTAGTTGGGAATATGAGATAGGGTTAATCGGTCCCACTCCATACTATTATATATCATCAATGTCTATCTTTTTTTTCCTTTACTTTTTCACGTAAATATATTATTTAAAAGCGACTACATCTATAGAGGACCAAGTCAAACATGACACGCTCACCTACTGAAAGCCGAAACTTTTGAGCACGTAGCTAATAACAATTCGGCATGTCCACATATTGCCTTGTCTTTACATTCCAAGAGTCACATTGACGCAATACAAAAACTCTAAAAATTGAGTTAAGATGTGATTTTATGTGAGAGTTTTTTTATTGTAGTAAAAAAATTAAATATGATTATTTATGAGATTTTTTTACTGTAACAAAACTCAAATTCTAAACTCGAATCAGTAAAATAAACGGAACCATAATTAACTTCCTCCGAACCTTCTGGACTTTTTTTTTTTTTTTCTAGTGAAACTTTTATGTTTTACTCTCTCACAGTTCTATAAAAAAGGACTTTTTCTAGTGGATCTAAAAACAACGAAGCGTGGAATTTATATTAAAAATTATTATTTTATATTTTTTTAATTTAATATAATTTTAATCAAATTTAATAGTTATAAATCCAATAAAAAGATCTTATTAAAAGAACTCTCGGATGAAAACTCAAAATCCACGCACGTCTTTACATACAAAGAGCCACATTGACCAAGACAAAGACTCCGAAAATCACAGTAAGCTTCCTCTGAACCTTCTGCACCTTTTTTTTTTTTTTTTGCTAGTGAAACTTTTATATTTTACTCTCTCACAGTTCTATACAAAAAATGAATTTTTCTAATGGATTTAAAAAAATGAATTGTGAAATTTATATTAAATTTTTTTTAATTTAATTTAATTTTAATCAGATGTGAAAGTTAAAAATTGATCGTACCAATACTAGAAAAACTCTCTGATGAAAAACCAAAACCCACCCACTTGTCTTTACATACAAAGAGCCACATTGGCCAATACAAAAGACTCCGAAAATCAAAGCTAGCAAGCTTGACTTGAACCTTCTGTACTTTACTCTCTCATGAGTTCTATAAAAACTAAAACGAACCCACTTATCCCAACTACTATCTGGAATAATTTTAGAGAGAGAAAGAGAGAGAATTAGAAGTGGGACGAACTGGGAACACAAAGGAAATTGAGGAGAGAGAAATGGGTTTTATGAGAAGTTTATTCTTTGTTTTTCTGGTGGTGATCTTTGCAGAGAGATCAGATGCTACTGTGTACAATGTTGGAGACGTTACTGGTTGGGGAATTCCTGCAAATAACGACTTCTATGATGACTGGACTAACAACAAGACCTTCCGTGTTGGAGACCAATTATGTGAGTATAAATGTCGTTAATAGTTTTTTTTTCTTTTTACGCTTTTCTTTGTTGAGTATAATTATTGCAATTTTTTGTGAATTTGTTTTGATGGGTGAAGGAAGGAGTGAAGTCTAAAGGGTTTTGCTTTGACGACTTGGGTATTTTGTCTTTTGAATGCTTGATCACGCTCTCAATTTTCTACTCATTCATTGATTTTTTGTGGATGATTTGTTTGAATTTTAAATTTGGAAAAATATACAATTTAGTCAAAACTATAGGGTTTACATGTTTAAAAGCCTAATTAATTACTAATATTTTGAAGGAGACTTCTAATTGACTATAAATTCCAAAATTAAAGGAATTAATTTAGTGATTAAAAATTTTATAAGAAGCAGGGCCTGAAAAATGTGTCGTGAAAAGAAAAGGGTACCGAATTTAAAATTTTTGTTGGAGTTTAGATTTGACTCCGAGTACCCAAAAATAATAAATCTAATGTTAATGGTACTTAAGGTTTATTTAGACAGTAAATTTTGTATTAGAAATAGTTCTTTGAGCATGGCTGCTGTGAGGACTAGATCAAACGCGTTTGCCAACGTTTATCGGATAAATTCAGCACAAAAAAAAAAAATAATAATAATAATAATTTTATTTTTTGCATAACTCTTGTTTGGTCTGACAATAATAAATGTTGAGCAGTAGATTTGTGTTTTAACCTTCAGAAGCCTCTCAGATTACAGAAAATGCTTTTCTTAGAAGATTAAAAACCAACTTATAAGTCTAATTATCTGCATTTTCTTTTCCTTCGATTGCCTTGCCTGTGAACTATTTCTTTTGATGTTTCGTCTTGGGCCTTTACTATGCTAATGAAATCCTTCTTAAAACAAAAAAAAAAAACAAAAAACCTACAAAGGCACAAACTCTCATAAATGGTCGTTTTTTCTTCAGATTTTACTTTCAAGTTCTGTTTTCGTACCTTTCTTTAAAAACGAGAGAAAAAAAATCACACTCATATTATGCAGTTCTGAAATCTAAACCGTCAAATTTTGATCATGTTTTAGAGTTCAGATAACATTAAAATTGTATATACATTAAAATACGCTATTATCTTTTAATTGAATTAGTAACAAAATTTCTTTGGTCCCCGTGAAATTGTCAGCCTTCAATTGGACTGCCGGGACACACGACGTGGCTGAAGTAAACGAGAACGATTATGATAACTGCACAAAGGTTTCCATCGTAATCGCCAGCCCAGTAGTCATTAATCTTACAAAACCTGGTGAGCACTACTTCATTTGCACTATTGGTGACCACTGCCAAAGGGGACAGAAATTGGACATTGAAGTCCAAGCCGCGAATTCGACTGCTCCGCCACCGTCGGGCACTACTACCGGAACTACCCCATCATCCATTGGTGCTTTGTGTGCGACAATATCCTTCCTAGTATTTTCTTTCTTGGCTTAGGGAGGTTTAGTTGTGTTATGTCTTTTGTCTTATGCTTCTTCATTTTGCTGCCAGTTTTTTTAATTTTTTTTTGTTTTAGTATCTGTTTGTATTATGCTTATTTAAACACATATATCTAGTGTGTTTTTTATTGATAGAATTAATAAACGACATTGTGACATTGTTGTGGATTGTTATATAATTGATATTGTTCATATTTGGCTCGTAACCCAGGGTCATAGATAGGTTACTTGACAAACTCACATTTGGAAGAACATTTAAAAATAAATAAAATAATAATAATAATAAAAATAATAAAAAGGTGAGATGGGCATACAAGGGAAATAGAGTGAACCATGAATGTTTTTTTTTTTTTAAACAATTTTTTGTTTGAAGATTTTTCCCTTAACTAGTAAAGGCTATTTCGAGCACCCCCAAAACCTTATTCAAAAATCTAATTGTGAGTACTCATTCCTTTTTTTTTTTTTTTTCCCCTAGCTTTCAAAAATCTAATTCAAATTTCAGAAACGGAAATAGTAGGAAATAGGTCAATATGAAAAGCTTAAGAAAGTATATAGGTCAATTTTCAGTTATAGAAATTAATAGGCCATAACTTGTCAAGTTATGGTTCATAACCAGATAATATATGGACAATAACTTGTCAAGTTATGGTTCATAACCAGACAAATTATGGACGAAAATAGTAATTTGTCCTATTTATTAACTTATGTAAACTATTGGTCTATTAATTTTAATTCATCTCAAGTCTTGACCTATTTTTCTCTTTCTCCCTTTCAGAAAAGCTGATCACTAGCAAGCGGCGCTATATGAGGCTTGGGCCCTAGGCCAATGGGCTCCTAGTTTTGCCCCAAAACAAAGGTCTTTCACATTTTTTTATTTCATTACCCCCCCAAATATTTTTAAAATTACAATATTTGTATGTTTTTAAAATAATTATAGTTCTACCCTAAGTTTTGATCATTAAGTACACTTATTTTCAAATTTGAAATCGTGCTAAATTAAAAACTAACTATACTAATATGTAAATTCACAAATTTTGAACTCTAAACTTAAAAATTATAACTGAGCTCCATTACAAGCTTAGTTCATTTTGAGGACAAAAAAATCAAAGACTTGCATAGTAGTTCAATCCAAATTTTGGTATATTTCATGCCCATAAAAAAAATGCCTGACTCCGCCGGTGAGACGTGGTTGGGTACATTTCCGGGTATCGTCGTTTTTTAAATGGTGGATTATGTCAAAACCATTCATGCCACAAAATGTGTATGCACAACTAGCCGAATCAGAGAAACATCGATTGCACCAAACCAAAACAAACTGGATAACTCCCAAGATGAAAATAAACGGTATGCCCTCAGTTTGGTAATGATTCTCCATAATCCAAATTTAGTTTTCCAACAATTTTGGCCCTAATGGGTATTTCGTAAAGTACTTGCGCTCTCAACTTAACTTTTGTGGGCTCTTCATCGAGAGGCCTCCCTCGTGTGGTGGCCTTCTTCAAGCTAACAAATTTTCAAGGAGAAAACAGATAAATACTCTGCATACGTCTATATTTTTATCTTTTATTTTTAATTAATATTTTTTTAGTTAAATAATTACAATAGTCAAGAGAGTATTAATCAAGAATAAAAGTTAAAAATCTAATCATGTGTACTTAAAATGACGTTTAGTTTGGTGGGATAGAGTGAGAATAAGAATAAGAGTAGGAATATAATGGGATAAGAATAGAAATACATCAAATGATTTATTTAAATTATATTGTTTGATTGAGCATTAGAATCAAAATTAAAATCACAATTATTATGTTTGGTTAGAATAGAATGGAATAGTATAAGTTTTTACTAAAATACCCCTATCTTATTCATTAATAATGTTTGAAAAGTAAATTTAAATATTTTTTTAATTTAGGGTAAGTTCAATAATTTTCTTATTTTTTTAAGGAGAAATGAGACAAATACTCTTTAGAGTGCATAAGACTGGATTTTTACCCCTTATTCTTAATAATATCATTTTTAGTCAAAAAGACATTAATCACGAACAAGTGGTAAAAATCCAGACTACTCGTGCAGTTTAAAGATAAGTTTAACAATTTTCTTAATTTTTTAATGGAACCCTCGTTTCTTACAATTTTATTGAAATATGCAACAACTTTTAGCTTGAGGGACTGTCTCCCGTAGGCCTTCCTACCGGTAGACTATAAATTTTGATTGTATCCAAAAGAATTTTTGTAATGCTCAAAATACCCTTCAACAACTATAGAAATATCAATTGTCCTAACCGTAACAACATTTCTGTTGATCTCCACCTCCTACACGAAGCTACCTTCTGGATAGAGAACAATCGTCTTGCTCAAAAAATATAAGAATAGTCTCTAATCTCTAAGGTTATATTTGGTTGTTTGTATTATTTTCTAAAAGGTGTATTTTATTGTGTCATAATGTTGTGTATTTTAATACGGTGTTTGATCGTATTGGAGGATGAATAAGTCTCGACCTGGCCCAGCCTCAAACCCAAGCTTGGCCTCAAACCAGGTTGACCCAACCCCGACCTCGCTTTGGTCTTGGCTACACTATCAACCCACCACACGTTGGCACTTAAAAAATAATTAAAAACCCACATTATTTTAGCTAACTTCTGTTATTTATATATAGAAGAAGTTTTGTTTGGTTTTTGAAAACAAAAATGATTCTTCATGAAAATAAATTTGAAAGGTTAAGAATTTCTTTTTACATTGTTATTTTGACCAAAAACGTTACATGGGTAACTTTGGGGTGATTAAAGTCCAAGATTTTTAGTTTCTCTAGTTTCTCTCCTTCTAGGGTTTTCTTTTCCCCTTCTCTTCTTTGTGTTGCCTTTATTGTAGGTTTCAGAGGGCTGTAGTTCGATGCCGCCCTTAGGCGATGCCCCAGACTCCTGGCCCTGTGGGAGGGTGCCCAGATGTAGCTGATTCAACGTTTTTGATGAAACGCTAACGACGCCTTGTTTTGGGAGGGAGATATGAGTTTTGAGGAGACATTTTCTAGCGAGGTTTTGGCTGCAGAGGCTTAGTGCATCTGTGCGCCGGAGAGTATGAGGCCCCAATGGATGAGTCTTCTCAATGTCATGCTCCTTGGAAGGGGCTTGTATGAGGCTTGGCAATCAAAGAAGGTGGAGGGAGTGGACTAGTTGCGGTCTTCCCCAAGGTTTGGAAGCGGATGGAAACTTCAGTGTCGTGTGGGTGCTTCAGTTCTACTCTATTTGTAGGGGGTCTCGCGTCTCTTGGGCCTGTGGTTCCATAGGCTGTGAAGCTCTTCCTTTTGACAGAGGCAGCGGATGGAAGCGATGAGTCTGCCCCTTTTCGATATCTTCTTGGATCGCTTGGTTTGCTCCAGCTCCCTCACTCTTTCTTGGTAGCGGCCGGTTGTCTCTCGAAAATTCGATCAATGCCTTTTGGGTATCTCTTTGTTTTAGTTTTTGGTTTTGTGTTTGGTGTGTAAGAGAGGTGACGTTGTCGCCATTCTTAATTGTTGGTTTCCGGCTTATGTTCAGCTTTGTTTTGTAATAATGGATGTGGTTTCCCCACTTTTCCGGCTTTGGTTTTCGCACCTTGTTAGGTTGTTTACTAATGGTGTGAGTTTTTTGGTTCTGATAGAATTTTGTATATCATGTTGCTGATGTCCCTCCAGAGCTCGAAAAGTTATCTTAATGGGAGGGATTTTTCCAAATCAAGCCCTAAATGTGCTCATTCTTAGTATGCTGAGATATTCTCCTGTATTCGGGTCTCAAGTATACGTTTGTTCCTCTGATGAGTCATTAACCTTGTAAGTGTGTTTTGTTTCTCCATTTTTTATTTAAACACAAGTTTCCTTAAATAAATAAAATTAAAAAAAAAAAAAAAAAAAACTAGATGTGTTGAATA